CAAAAATAATTAATAATTAATATCTAATAATTTATAATTATAATTTAAAATATATAATATTTTAAATTAAAATTAACAACTAATATTTGTTCTAGAAGGCCAAAACAAAGACCACGTTAACCAATGGGAACTCTTGACTAGGGATGGCAATTTCCTTTTAACACCCGCAAAGGTGCGCAAAATCTCCATCACGTGGATGGATATTTTAAGAATATCTTTTCTCATGGGATGGGGTTGAAGGTATTTTTTTTTGTGAAATTTCACAAAAACTTTCTTTTATTTATGGAAATTTGTGGGGATCTATATATAATAAAAAATATGTAAATTTGTTATATATATTTGTAAATATATTATCAATTAATTTGTATTTACTTAATTTAATTGATTAACTCAACTCAACTTAAATTGCCTAACTTAACTCCTTTTACAAGTTCAGTTTTCTAATCCCAATTCCATAACTCAACTCAATTTGGAAACGTAAAGCAGTTCATGCTTCTTCTTTTCTATAAATTTACTGTTAGATTTATTGGATGTATATGGTAATATGTATTTGTTATAATTGGTTACTGAATATTGTTTTGATACATTATATGTTAATACATTTATTTATTTAAGTTGTTTTAAATATTTATTTTTTAATTTATCAAAAAATATATATAATTAAATTTTATATATTTAATATTTGATAAAAATTTTATATACCAATAAAAACCTATTATTCCTAGCCAGTATAAAAACAAAGCTACTTTTGAGACCCCTCACTAAAAATTCTCGTGAGAATGTCTATACCTACCTACCATTGACAAGATGGGAATGGGAAGGCGTCCCACTCCCATACGTTGCCATCCCTACTCTTGTCTTTAGAAAAATATTCAGCTGGTCTTATAGTCTTGTTGACTATTGACTTTAGTTTGATGTTAGGCTAGTCTTGTCAGAAAATAGTGCTTCTTTGTCTGCGTCAATTTAACTATTTTATTAACTTTTTGAATGTAATTTTAAACAATTTTTGTATATGATATATAAACAGTAAATGAAAATTTTTTTATTAAATAAAATTAAAATTAAAATTAAAAAATTTTTACATACGTTCCTCTTTTTGGTAATTAATTGAGTTAGAATATTTTAGATAATATTGGACAATATTTCAAGTTAAAAGACCCTCTATGCCTTTATCTTTCTACCAAACAATTAAGTGGG